CTGAGTAGCTGGAATTACAGATGCCCGCCACTTTGCCTGCCTAATTTTTTGTATTTTTAGTAGAGATAGGGTTTCACCATGTTGGCCAGGCTGCTTTTTAACTCCTGACCTCAGGTGATCCATGCACCTCAGCTTCCCAAAGTGCTGTGATTACAGGCATGAGCCACTGTGCCCAGCCCTGTGGTTTTAATTGAGCACTTTATGAGATTAGGTTTCTCTTTTCTTAGCATATCAGTTATACTTTTTTTTTCACTTTTTTAGTGGTTACCCTAGAGTTTGCAATCTACATTTACAAGCAGTCCAAGACTGCTTTTAAATAGCACAATAGCAACACTACCACATCACAGATTGTACAGTACCTTGTGATAACGAAGTATTCCTAATTCCATCTGCCTGTCTGTTGTATTTTCAGTTCACATATACATTGCTGTCCTTCACTTCTTCTTTTTTTTTTTTTTTTGAGATGGAGTTATGCTCTCTTGCCCAGACTGAAGTGCAGTGGCATGATCTTGGCTCACTGAAACCTCTGCTGCCTGGGATCAAGTGATTCTTGTGCCTTAGCCTCCCCAGTAGCTGGGATTACAGGCACATGCCACCGTGCTCTGCTAATTTTTGTGTTTTTTGTAGAGACGGGGTTTTACCATGTTGGCCAGGCTGGTCTTGAACTCCTGACCTCCAGTGATCCCCCTGCCTTGGCCTCCTAAAGTGCTGGGATTATAGGTATGAGCCACAATACCTGGCCCAAAAGTTTTTAATTTGATGAAGCCCAGTTTATCAATTTTTTCTTTTCTGGGTTGTGCTTTTTTTTTTTTTTTTTTCTGCCTAACCCAAGGTTGCAAAGATTTTCTCCCAGAGGTTTTTTTTTTTTTTTTTTTTTTTAGTTGAAATCGCCATGTGGTGCCACCACACCTGGCTAATTAAAATAAATTTTTATTATTATTATTTTTTAAGACGGTATTGCTATGTTGCCCAGGCTGGTGTCTAACCCCTGCCCTCAAGCGATCCTCCTGCCTCAGCCTCCTGAGTTGCTGTGATTACAGGCACGATCTACTGCATCTGGCCAGAAAATAGTTTATTTTTAATCAAAGTAGTATATGGACACAATTTTGAAAAGTCAACTAATATGACAGACTTAATGTAAAAAACTGCTCTACCACCCTCCCCACTCCAGAGTCCTTTTCCACAGGGGTGGCCACGTTCTTTTTCTTTTTCTTTTTTTTTTTTTGAGACAGAGCTTTGCTCTTGTTGCCCAGGCTGGAGTGCAGTGGTGCGATCTCGGCTCACTGCAACCCCCACCTCCCGGGTTCAAGTGATTCTCCTGTCTCAGCCTTCCAAGTAGCTGGGATTACAGACACCGGCCGCTACACCCAGCTAATTTTTGTATTTTTAATAGAAACGGGGTTTCGTCATGTTGGTCAGGCTGGTCTCAAACTCCTGACCTCAGGTGATCCACCCGCCTCGGCCTCCCAAAATGCTGGAATTACAGACGTGAGCCACCGCACCTGGCCACCACTTTAAAATCTATAAGCTGTTGCTTTGTGCTATTTACCTCCTTATTTATTTATTTAACTTGAGACAGAGTTTCACTCTGTCACCCAGGCTGGATTGCAGTGGCACAATCCCGGCTCACTGCAATCTCCACCTCCTGGGTTCAAGTGATTCTCGTGCCTCAGCCTCCTGAGGAGCTGGGATTATGGGCATGCTCCAACATGCCTGGCTAATTTTTGTATTTTTAGTAGAGATGGGTTTTCACTGCGTTGGCCAGGTTAGTCTTGAACTTCTGGCCTTAAGTGGTCCACCTACATTGGCCTCCCAAAATGTTGGGATTACACCACACCTGGCCCTGCTTCCTTATTTATAACTAATACATTTTTACTGTTTTTTGATTTACTAACTTTACATATTTTCTATTGAGCACTACCTATTATGGAAGATGAAGGTTTAGCAGTCATAGACCACCAATCCTGCTTCTTTTTCCGGAATCTTTTGAGAGTTAACTCACAATTTTTGGTTAAATATTTAGTATTTATATCATAGTGATTATATAAATACTCATTACTGTTGAATTTAGTCATATACTATGATTACATGACCTTTCTTAAATAATTTCTGTTTTTCCCAAAGTATGTAGTCTATACAAAATTATTTACTTTATTCTCCATATGACTATTATTCATTGCTTCCAAATTCTCCTACAGTGTTGTAACATTCCACAGAGTAAGGTTAGACACATCAAGTGAACTGTCAGTTCTATGCTTTCTTCTCCTGGAGATCCGCGAGCTGTTTTGACTCTTGTCCCAGCCTGCTGCGTGGCTGTGATTCTCCATACCACTGCCCTGTGTTGGATCCCTTGTTTCTTGAATTTCTTCTTTTTTCTTGGCTTACTCCCTCATGTGGAAGGAGTACATCTTGTAGCTTCCTTGTAGGTTCCTGGGAGGTCTTTTGAATCTTGGCAAATCAGAAAATGTTTTTATTCTACTTTCAAACTTAATTGATAGCTTGAAAAGCTATAGATTTCTGGTTAAATTATTTCCTTTTGGCCGGGCTCAGTGGCTCATGCCTGTAATCTCAGCACTTTGGGAAGCCAAGGCAGAAGGAGTTCGAGACCAGCCTGGGCAACACAGTAAGACCCCATCTTTACCAAATAAAAAATATTAGCTGGGATTTGGTGGCATGTACCTGTAGTTTCAGCTACTTAGGAGGGTGAGGCGT